CTGAATTATTATATCAATCAGAGTATGAATTATACAACATAGCTATGTCAAATATTGCTGCACTCCTCGACGTGTTCGTATCCTTCTTACATTGGCCGCCGATTTTGCTGGCCAGCGGCCGTCGGCTGCTGCGTGCACACTCTGACGAAATGCCCTGGCTGCCCACATCTGTGGCACACCGGAGGGGGCCGAAAGTTACCTGGCATATGCTGAATGGGACCTGGATGTGGACGAGGTGGGATCCCCATCCCCTGCCCTGCCTGAACATTAGCATCGACCGAACCTAGGCTACGCACACCTCCGGCCGCTTTCTTTTTCACCCCTTCTGCTTGGATTGCGGCCTGCAGCCGCTTCTGCTTTTTGGAGCCTGTCACCAGGTCCATGAGCAGGTTGCCTCCTTGGAATGCAGTCGCCACCTGGTGGCCATGGTTTTCAGCGACAACAAGCCACTCCTGCCTCTCTCTAAGTACACGCTCACCTTTTTTCGCTGCTCTTCTCCTTTTTCTCTTCGACTTCGACTTCATTGAGGCAATGATGTTCAGCAATTCCTCGTTCAATGCAAACTGTTTTGCATAGCTGGTCGTTTTCCAGTTCAGCTCCGTGGGTGCTCCGGACTTCCTTTTTTGCCTCGGCGAGCGGGATCTTGATCTCGACTCTGAGGAGGACGAGGACGAGGACGACGATGATCTTGCATCAGGGGAATTTCCCCCTCGTCTCCTTTTCAGCGACCTGCCTCGTTCTGCCAACCTTTCCATGCCTCTTTCCAGCATTCGGATCTTCATGCCCAAGAGCTCTTGCTCGCTCTCGAACTCCGTGGCTGCCTTGGACGCAGCAGCACCAGCCTGTTGAGGAGCTGCAGTTGGGGGTGCCGAGGGCTGGTGTTCCACTGCCGTTTCGTACTCGGACGACGACGACGTGGTTCCGACCCTATCGGAGTCGGGAAACTCAAATACGGCTGAGGCACGAGCGCCTCCTCTCTTGCCTCTACCTCTACCACGACCAGAGTTCACAGTTTTTGCCTTGTGACCACTCATGTTAGCAACAGAAAAGAACAGCACCAGGTCGATCTACACGACGGAGAAAAAACTTTGGGCAGCTGCACACTTGGCAAGAAGAAAAACAATGCTTGTGCAGCAGGTCTGCATTCACCGCATGTTCAAATGGCTGCTGTGTGTAATAGAGCTGGGTGTGCATGCTGATGCTCGTGCAAACAAATTTGGAGCAGAGAACACATATTTCTGATTTCCATCTTTATCACTTACTGAATCAGAGCGCAGTTGTACCCCTCTTATTCTCCCCAACACGTCTTTTACCTTCTTCAAGTTACTACTTTTAATCTCTACTGTATTCGGTATTTCATCATTAGTCCCCCTATACTTATTGATGAGGCCAATCTCATCCTGGTTGAATGATATATCAGTGTCAGTAATGAAAGAAGAAGTTCTACCATCCAATGGTTCAGGAGCACTACCTCCGATGGGTTTGATGAATGAACCCACAACCGATGGAATTTGGTGGAGGGCTGATGTGATTGCTGCTTGGTTAGTCTGAAGTTGTCCAAGGAGCGCATCCTGCCGTTTATCGTATTCCTCACTTTGTTTGGTTAAATTTTTAACAACAGGTTTTTGGAACTCTTCTAAAAACTCCTCCTGCTGTTGCTTACCTATCCTTTTTTTCCAGTTGACGTTGCTTGAGAATTTCTCGATTTTGAGATAGGTGTCAATGACTTCCTTCCGATGTTCAGGATTTTCTACTTGAGTAAAATGTGGCATGCTTATCTACCAATACCTTTTTTTCTTCTCACTTCTCCAAGAACCTATCGAATCCACATCGGTACATCTCTGGCTGATATGTTGCTGTTTTATCAAGCATGAAAAATGAATGTGGTTTCTCTGTTGCCATTTCATAGGCCTCCGCAAACTCGATTTTCTTAAGATTTTTGGAGTGATCATGTGCTAGACACTGGACATCTCTGTTGTCCAAGCCCTTGTACAGGAGGAAGCACTTGGTATTCCTCCGGATATATTTCGGTACATCATAGTATGATTGACAAAGATATATACAGTTTCCTCTGAGACAAAAATGCGATAATACTCATAAAAAGGACACACTGTATTTCACCTGATGAGAAGGCTTGAAAGTATACTTGTGAAGACAAAAACTTTCAAGATGTTTGTAATGAGCCTGAAGTGTGTCCTTTTTATGAGTATTAAAGATATATACAGTTACATTTCTTGTTCCGAGAAAGACTGAAGTATTCCATCACTTTTGTCATGTGCTTTTTGTCAATCTTGATGTCATCAAAAATTATCACCGTATTTTCCTGATCATCGAGATCCTCCACTGGACAAACCTTGTCTGGTTGTTCAATGATAAGTTTACCAGGAGATATTCCATTGTAAAACCCATCAAGAAGTTGATATTTTGGTTGTTGAAGATTTATTGTGTAAAGAATGACCTTATCACAGTTCAACCATGATTGTAGAAGCATATTACACAGGGTGTTTGTCTTCCCACATCCCGTTTGTCCAATCATCATGTAGTGACAATCAGGAAGCAAGTAGTGATGCTTTGTTGGTTTCTCCTTGTGCTCATCAAAGTTGATCATTTCCATGGTTTGTATCTACAAAGGATCATTTTTTATTGTTCCAACACTTTCAAGAAAAAAATATATAGAGAGATAAGGAAGATGAGTTCAAAATTTGGAACAGCCTTGGAAGCTAATTCGATCAATCTTGATTCCTATGCCAAAAAGAGGGAGTTATTTGTCGTCAGTGAAGAAAAGTTGGATAAAGCTGGTGGAGATGTGGAGGGACATATTGACATGAACTATCATCGAATTTGTCATCTTGGGTATGATGGAGTGAGTACCACTTGTGCGGCACCAACTGGGTGGGTCACAAGTGAGATAGGAAAAGTGGATACTTCATTGAGGAAGCATGTTGATGATGATCAAACACGACTGATGGTAAGTGGTACACTGAAAATGAAAGGAAATCTTGACATGGGTGGAATGGAAATTGTAAATGTGAAGCAACCATCAAGAAGTACATCTGTGGTAACATCACAATATCTCAACACAGCACTAAGACATACTCTCCGACAGTGGACGAGTGGACTCAACCAGATGAAAGGAAATCTTGACATGGAGTTGAATCACATCATCAATCTCCGACAGACAACAGAGGATGACTCAGCAACAACAAAGGAGTATGTTGACAGAAAGGATGAAAAGGTGAAAGTAAAAAAAATGAAGAATATCATCCCGAGCTCATCAACCACTCCACCAGAAGCCACACTTCATGTCTTTCCTATTAACAAAAGTCCAACCAACAAACTGATTGTCATTGAGGATCTCTTCATAGTCGGTCAAGAAACAAGTGGTAGCAGAAGACGTTTGCATGTATCATATCGAGATGTGTTAGGAGAAAAAGCGGTAATCCGATACATTACTGAACATGATATAACAACGGCATATCTGACCTTCATCAACAACACATTGACATTACCAACTGTGAGTGGATACAATCTCATTGATGAATGGGAGCTGGTTTATCATGAGTACTGAAAATCTTAACTATTATGTAGATAAAAAATGGAAATACCTCATTTGTTAATACTGTTGACCGTGCTACCATTTACTCTTGGTTGTATTCTTGATCCGTTGGATAAGGATGGACCCTGCTTGACAACGAAACCTCCTACTGTCATCCAAAGTGAAAGACCAACTCAGGTTGACATCCCTAGTGAAACATCACCACCAACAGATCATATCACTACACAACCCCCTTACGATCAGACGAAACCAGGAAACGGGGGTAACCCTCATTTGACAGGCCCCAATCTTTATCTTTTATCTCTGATTATTATTCCTATAGTTGGTGCTGTTGTATATGCCATAAAACGTTCCAGCTGTTCGATGAGTGTTGACCCTGAAAATTATCCAAGAAATTTACAACAGTCTAGGTTAGATTTTGATCCGATATCATTGCCAGATGTGCTTGGTGTGGACAATCTACCAAGATTACCCTCCACCTATGATGTAACTGGTATGGACTGATGGGAAAAAGGAAAACGGTTTATGATAGAGTAAAAAATGAACAAACACCGACAACATCGGGAATTACATCGGGAATTACATCGGGAATTACATCGGGAACACCGACAACACCGACAACATCGGGAATTACATCGGGAATTACATCGGGAACACCGACAACACCGACAACATCGGGAATTACATCGGGAATTACATCGGGAACACCGACAACACCGACACCACCGACACCACCGACAACATCGGGAATTACATCGGGAACACCGACAACATCGGGAATTACATCGGGAATTACATCGGGAATTACATCGGGAATACCGACAACACCGACAACATCGGGAACACCGACAACATCGGGAATTACATCGGAAATACCGACAACATCAACCCACCCGAAGTTGGCTCAGAAACCGATCCCACATCACTCCTCGAAGTGAGCCAAGATGGGGTAAGTGAAAAAGCTGAAGTTGGCTCACTTCCGATTTTCTCGGAGACAGCAAGTTGGCTCAGTTTTCTGGAACTGGGTTGAGCCAACATGGGATCAGTGGTTGGAGTGGTAAAATTAGTACTTGGAGGTGTAAAATTAGTACTTGGAGTTGTAATATTAGTACTTGGGGTGTATATCCTTTAGTATTGTAGTATAGGGGGAGGGGGAGACTTTGGAGGGAGGCCCGAAGGGCCGATCGAGAAAGTCGATTTTGGACCACCTGGAAGGTGGTCCAGAACCCCCTCCCCCTATACTACTGGCAATCTTCTTCTTGGATGTCTTCATACGGAGCTTGACTCGGGAGAATGAGAGAGCGTGTGTGGGCAAGCGTGTGTTTACCGCCATATTGCCGGGTGTGTCTTTACCACCATATTTATCAACCATAAGTACAGCTGCATTGGTGTTTTCAATTGCATTCTCCCGAGTCAAGCTCCGTATGAAGACATCCAAGAAGAAGATTGCCTGATGAGTCCAGCGGGGACGAAACGTACGTCGCAATCGAGCTATGTCGTTGCTGTGTCATCATCTATGTGCCATGCGCTACTTGATGTACCAGCCTGCTATGCCGGATACCGCCAGCCATGCATCGACCAGGCGCCAGGCGCGAACTGATGGTGGTGGTGGTGAGAAGGAGAGCTCTGTGCCAGAACTTTGCAGCCTAGAGAGCGTGTGTGGGCAGGCGTGTGTTTACCGCCATATTGCCAGGTGTGTCTTTACCACCATATTTATGCTTCATGCAAAAGCTGAAAAAACAACAGCCAATCAGAGGGGAGAGGGTGATAGCCAACCACGGCGAAGAACAAAAAAACAAAATAAATACTAGTATGCAGTTTACATGAAAAAGAAGAAGAAGAAAATGAAGACCAAACACATGAGCAGAAGAAAATGAAGACCAGACACATGAGCAGAAGAAAATGAAGACCAGACACATGAGCAGAAGAAAATGAAGACCAGACACATGAGCAGGAGTTAGATTAGGCGAGCACCGACAGTTGTGCTTTGAACGATCGCATTGAAGATGAAAGTTATCCCGAGTCAAGCTCCGTATGAAGACAACCAAGAAGAAGATTGCCTGATGAGTCCAGCGGGGACGAAACGTACGTCGCAATCGAGCTATGGCGCTGCTGTGTCATCATCTATGTGCCATGCGCTACTTGATGTACCAGCCTGCTATGCCGGATACCGCCAGCCATGCATCGACCAGGCGCCAGGCGCGAACTGATGGTGGTGATGGTGAGAAGGAGAGCTCTGTGCCAGAACTTTGCAGCCTAGAGAGCGTGTGTGGGCAGGCGTGTGTTTACCGCCATATTGCCAGGTGTGTCTTTACCACCATATTTATGCTTCATGCCAAAGCTGAAAAAACAACAGCCAATCAGAGGGGAGAGGGTGATAGCCAACCACGGCGAAGAACAAAAAAACAAAATAAATACTAGTATTTAGTTTACATGAAAAAGAAGAAGAAGAAAATGAAGACCAAACACATGAGCAGAAGAAAATGAAGACCAGACACATGAGCAGGAGTTAGATTAGGCGAGCACCGACAGTTGTGCTTTGAACGATCGCATGAAAGATGAAAGTTGAAGACTCTGGGGTGAGACGGAGCCAGTCGGAAATTGCGATAAAAACGGAAATAACCACATACATGTAATAACGAGTGTAACGCGGAGTGGTGATGTCATGGTCACCACAGAATCAGCCAGAACAAGTGCATACACTAATATGCCATCTACACTGTATCTCGACCTCTGCTTTGCTGCTGCTGCTGTTGTAGCTGCTGCTATTGTTGTAGCTGCTGCTGCTGTTGTTTTTGTAGCTGCTGCTGTTGTTGTAGCTGCTGCTGTTGTTGTTGTAGCTGCTGCCGCTGCCGGTGGTTTGGTTGTAATAACTGCTTGCGAAGCTGGCTCTGCTGCGGTTGTCGTTGTTCCACTGCATCGTTATGCTTGCCAATCTGTGGCTGCTCCACATATGCTGCCCTGCCTGCGGCATTGTCCACATTCATGGGGTTAGCTGCTGGAGGTCAGAGAAAAGAATAGGATCAGCATTGTATAACATATATCTCTGCACAGCATCGACCAAAGCACTTAGCTAACATCGCACCAATGACCTGCAGCATGACATTATATTGCACGACACACAATAGATTCATACTGCCTGTGGGAAAACCACCCCCTGACAAACAAACTGAACTACCATGAGTTGAGACCAGTTCCAGAAAAAGCAAAAAAGGTAGTCAGAAAATGAGCCACTGGCTCGCTGTATGTGCTCTGGCCTGAGAGCTGCAAAACTGCGCACACCATGCGTGCAGCAACACGTCAGCATGACGTACACATGATACAAATAACCAAATACATGTAATAACGAGTGTAACGCGGAGTCGTGATGTCAAAGTCACCACAGAATCAGTCAGAACAAGTGCATACACTAACATGCCATCTACACTGTACCTCGACCTCTGCTTTGTGCTGCTGCTTTTGTTGTTGTAGCTGCTGCTGTTGTTGTAGGTGCTGCTGTTGTTGTTGTTGGAGCTGCGGCTGCTGCTGCTGCGGCTGCTGTTGTTGTAGCAGCTGCTGTTGTTGTAGGTGCTGCTGTTGTTGTTGTTGGAGCTGCGGCTGCTGCTGCTGCGGCTGCTGTTGTTGTAGCTGCTGCTGCTGCTGTTGTTGCAGCTGCTGCTGCTGCTGCTGTTGTAGCTGCTGTTTTTGTTGTTGTAGCTGCTGCTGCTACTGATGGTTTGGTTGGGATAACTGCTGGAGAAGCTGACGCGGGTGAGGTTGTTGCTGTTGCAAGGTTATGCTTGCCCATCTGTGGCTGCTGCACATATGCTGCCCTGCCTGCGGCATTGTCCATATCTGTGGGGTTATCTGCTGGAAGTCAGAGAAAAGGATAGGATCAGCATTGTATAACATACATCTCTGCACAGGATCCACCAAAGCACTTAGCTAACATCACACCAATGACCTGCAGCATGTATTGCACGACACACAATATATTCATACTGCGATCTACACTGTACCTTGACTTCTGCTTTGCTGCTGCTGCTGCTGCTGTTGTAGTCCTCCTAGCTGCTGGGGTTTCACAAGCTGTGCATTTTTGGTTCCCACCGCATAGCCTAGGAGCATCGTCTCATATTCCAGCTGCAAATGGATAAATCACAATTCACAAAATTGTCATTGCAAGAGGACTGAAAAAAGAACTGTTGACTACGGCAGCGTGCATGCTCATATCACACATGCACGTGACTAGACGAAGACCATCTGGGTGATGTCATCACACAGGAAAACAACACTTTATTTTACAATGAATTTGTGCCTTTTTGTGAATAACAGGAAAACAACAATTCATTTTACAATACATTTCCCCTTTGTGCATAACTCGTACCACTTTGCCCTTCTCCATTTTGATTACATTGTCTCACCTTCTGCGTTAAAAAAGAGATCAATTTTTAAATTAATAACCGCAATCAAAATGACAAGCTGAATCGACATTTGTGTACACCTTATTCATGCAATGTAAAACAGTGGAGATAATGTGCAGTAAAGCGATGAAAATATGAAGAAATAGTGTAGAGAAAATAAGGATTCAAACAAGTTTCGTACAACACTCATCAGTAATCGTCGTTGCACTAAAGGACACTGAAAACCAAATTGAACTATTATAGAAAATCTAAGTTAGAGGAATAACACTAAGAACAACGGCAGTGAAATTTACAAGTGTGAAGTTTAACAACGAAAGCGAGAGCAATAACGAATGCGTGTGCTAACAATAAACTTGCAAATAGAAAAATGAACAAACAAGAGAAAGAAAGAAGGAAGGACAAAGTGATAACACATAACAGCAGTACATTACACCTAGAACATTAACGGCCAAGCTTGGCCGTACCATCCACAAATGCAATTTACAGCAGCCACAACTAATCCATCATCCAAGCCCAGTATTGAAAGACCAAGACGATCGACAGCCAACTACAATAGAAGCTACGTACTCAACGAACAAGGGCGCATAGAAGGACGTGACGGCAGGGTGACGGCCGAGTCCAGTTCAATGGGCCAAGTCAGGCGGGATAACAGAGAGAGAGCGCAGAGGAAGCGGATGATGGTATGGACAGTGAAGGAAGCAATGAGTCAGAGAGCGACGATGGTGGTGATCGTGTGAGTGCCGGTGGGAATGTTAGTGTTGTGCGAAGGTTTTCGTGGTAGCAAGTCTTCAGTGTACAATCATCTGCTAGCTAGTCCTGATTGTTGCAATTTGTATTCTGACTCTTCTTTCACTTTATTGTGCCGTGGTCGTCATGGATATGGACTACAGTTTAAAGTTTTGGAAGCCATCTATTTAGCGTATGTATATGCCCAATTTGTGTGTACAGAAAGATAGTATAATTGGGTTTTAACTGTTCAAGTAACGTGTGGTGTTTGGTGCGGCCAAGCTTGGCCGTTAATGTTCTAGGTGTAATGTACTGCTTTGTCTTTCCTTGTTTCTTTCTCTTGATTATCGAAAAGTATTCTTTCTAGACCAAAGAGTGGTATATTTGATAACATTTAATAACGATAGAAATTTTTACGATACTTCTCCAGACGTTTCGTTGTTCTGAACAACATCGTCAGTGGATAAAGGATGGAGGGCTTTTGGGTGGTGGCACGGGTTAATAGGGAGTGATGGTGGTGAGATGAGGTGAGGTGAGAAGGTGAAGGTGGGAAATACATGTATCTAAGTTAATGGTGAAGGTTAGGCGCGGGTCGATAAAGGTGGGAAGGGGTACACCCTTCGGGTAGAAGTGTAAGTTGGTAGAAGGTGTTGGCGTGCGTAGAAGGTGGAGTGGCGTAATGGAAGTGTCGGGTTGATAAATGTGGGAGAGAGTCTAGGTAGGGTGTGGATCAGCAATAGGTGTTGGTGTATGTGGTGGGTAGAATTGGCAAGAGGTGTGTGTGTGTGTGTGTGTGTGTGTGTGTGCGTGCGTGCGAAAAAGAGTAAGGTAGTGAGTATTGGTATGCGTGGAAGGAAGATGTGACAGAAGGTGTGCGCTATAGGCAAGGGGTGCAGGAATATTTTGAGGTGGTGGGTGGGACTAAAACAGGAGGTTGTGATTCATCTAGTGATATAATATCAGCAATAGCAGCAGTATATACAAAGAGGTGTGTGTGTGTGTATGCGTGTGCGTTTGCAAGCTTTTTGGTAGTGTAGTGTGTTGGGGGGGGGGGGGGGAGAGCACCGGGTGCGGGTGTTCTTCTTCTATTGAGATCATTTTTGGATGGGTTGGCAGATAGTGGATGGTGGTAGGCAAGTTATGCCAAGAATCCAGTTCCCATATCTTCTTTTCTCCTGTTGATAGTTGGTTTCTTGTCGCGAATGGCATATGCCTCACGGATCCGGAGCCTCAGGTCATCCCTCTCCGTGAGCTGAGCAATCTTGTACATAATCTCTGGGGTGGCGTTCGGGTGTTCCCTAGCGTAGTGCACACCGAATGCAGACTTCTTGTCATGAGATTTTGCAGCATTTGTGTGCTCTTGGGCCCGGGTGTGCACTTGCCTCCCAGTCGAGCTGACGTATCTCTCGTGACAAAGGTGGCATGTAGCTTCGTACACGGCAAATCTGCAGGTGCACTTCTTCCTGAACATAGGGCATTCGCGCATTCTGCATTTTTCCGGTTCTCCTTTTTTCTTCGTGAGTTCTTGGATGGTTGGGGGTCGAGGGTTAACGAGGCGTGCCGGTATGCCGTTTTTCTTAAGTGCCTGTCGTACTTGGCCGTTAACCAATTTCTATCGTTATTAAATGTTATCAAATATACCACTCTTTGGTCTAGAAAGAATACTTTTCGATATTACAATGAGAGTGAATAATCAACGGCTTGTCCACCAACTCTTTGACTTTGGACTGGACCGATCAACTCGCGGACAAGCAACAGAATGGATGGGAAATGTGGAGAGGCCACCACCCAAAGCCCTCCATTCTTTATCCACTGACGATGTTGTTCAGAACAACGAAACGTCTGGAGAAGTATCGTAAAAATTTCTATCGTTATTAAATGTTATCAAATATACCACTCTTTGGTCTAGAAAGAATACTTTTCGATATTACAACGAGAGTGAATAATCAACGGCTTGTCCACCAACTCTTTGACTTTGGACTGGACCGATCAACTAGCGGACAAGCAACAGAATGGATGGCAAATGTGGAGAGGCCACCACCCAAAGCCCTCCATTCTTCATCCACTGACGATGTTGTTCAGAACAACGAAACGTCTGGAGAAGTATCGTAAAAATTTCTATCGTTATTAAATGTTATCAAATATACCACTCTTTGGTCTAGAAAGAATACTTTTCGATATTACAATGAGAGTGAATAATCAACGGCTTGTCCACCAACTCTTTTTTTTCTTCTCTTGTTTGTTCATTTTTCATTTGCAAGTTTATTGTTAGCACACGCATTCGTTATTGCTCTCGCTTTCGTTGTTAAACTTCACACTTGTAAATTTCACTGCCAATTTTTTTCATATATTTTCATCGTTTTACTGCACATTGTTTCCACAGTTTTACATTGCATGAATAAAGTGTACACAAGTGTCGATTCAGCTTGTAATTTTGAATGCGGTTATCAAATTATTGTCTGCTCGCCGTTTGTTCAAATTTTGAAATTGTGGATCTATCTTTTTTTAACTCGGATGGTGAGTTGATCAGTATAATCATGTTAAAACAATGAAAGTTGACGGCACTCACCTTATTTTGAGCAGAGGAGAAGAAACTGATTTCCATCTCCAAAGCACCTTGGAGAATGACCCAGAAACTCCCAGGTTGTAGAGGAGGAATACAGTTGATGATGAATCGAAATCTAAAGCGAAAATATTCCAGGAAAGTCAAGATGTAAATCAGATCCTGAGCTTTGTGTTCAGAAGGAAAATGTATTGTTTTTGCAGTTGTTTGCCATTGTTCGTCATGGAGGTGAGATATAGATGCCTTTATCTCTTGATGTTTTTCTGTTGTTCTTTTTGTTCACAACGTTTGTGTCACCTGGTGGTATGAATGCTGTTTTTGACTCTTCACATAGATTTCTTTCTTCGGGTTATTTCCACACATAATTGGTGTCACAGACACTTGCACATGAATTCACAATTATTGTATTTGCTCGTTCGAATTTATTTGTATTTTGTTTCTCTCACCTTTCACTATTCCCGAGTTGATCACGTACGTGCGTGCTCCACTCTGCTGCAGTTAGAGGCAGCTACTCTACATGCAGTCGAGTCGATTCTATTGTGTATCTGCATGTCTCCTTGATAATACCTGTCCAGCTCTAAATAATTAGAATTACCCTCTATTCTCTCTCGCTTCTTCTCTTCGATTTATTTATTTTCGCTTCTCTCAGTTATTTTTGTTTTGTTTGTACTTTGTACGCTATCGCTCTATCTGCATGACGCGATGCAGTTTATGGATGTCGTCACTCCTTGGGGCGCCGTGCCTGCACCTTTGGGGCGCAGTGCACCGGATGCGCAGTGACCTCTACGATGTACGCCAGAGCTAGGCATCTTTTTGGCTGCATGTTTCCTTTTGCGCTGCGAGCTTTTCTGCTTGAGGCTACATGTACGCGTGTCGCTCTTTGCTTTTCAGAACTCTTTGAGTTTCAGTTTTATTCCACTTTGTAAAGAACAAGAACAAGTAATGGTTCGAAGGAAATCTTGTCTACCATGGCCACAGGGCCGCAACAATTGGAGTGCTGCGTCTTTGAACTTCTTAATTTTATAGCTGTAATCCCTTAGTTTACTTCCATTATTCGTTGTAGTTTTGTGATAACAAGAGAACGAAAATGTTCATTACTTATAAGAATGGTCCTAATTGGCTGGTAGTAGTAGTATTTAGTAGTATTTATTTTATTTACCATCGGATGCCTCAACAGTGATACACACAACTCTTAAGAGGGCCGATAACGGGATAAGTGGAAAGGAAAGGAAAAGAAAAGAAAAAATAGAAAAAATTGGAATTCAGACATCAAGCAGTACAGTAATCAAACACCAAGTCAACTTCAATCTTAGTACAAGAACTATCAAGTTCATCGAGAAACTCAACAGATTCCAAAAAGAAGGTCAAAATACTTCTTAAACGCCACTGGGTCTTTAAAAAGATCCCTGAGTTGGTTTGCAAATGTAGAGGTACGGTGGTGTCTGCGCCACTCGGCAGGTAGTGTATTAAAGAAAATTGCGGCACGATTAGAAAAAGAATTTACTCCATCAGCTGTCCGGTGCTTTCTTACGTAGATGAATGCGTATACAAGACACTTTTACTAATATGTTTTTACTAATATGTTGTGCCTCCGTCCTAGTTTCAAAAGACAAAAGCTGGTGATTCCTTGCCCAGAAAATGTCATTGGGCAGAGATGAAAAGAGATGTGCACATAAACCCATTTAGCTTAGGACAACCGTTACGCCTTAGAACCCCTGCTGCAGGTGACAAGTGCGCCTGGTATTCAGTGTTGACGCTTCTTCAGCCTGATATCAGACCAGTATTACAAGGCAATGCAACTAGTAACTAGTATTAAAATATATGTGAACGCTTCGTCAAGCACACGCAAACCGGACTATGGAAACAGAACTCACAATTTGTAGATTATATCCCGGCGCTGATTTGCCACATTTGGATCAGCTTGCCACGAACTGGCCCTATATATATAGAAAGCATACAAACCATCATAGCCGGAGAAAACAGTATAGGAGCAGTAGCGTGAGTACACTTTCATTGAACAGAACTGTTGGTGAGTCAGATATCTGAGAGTAAGCGATACTGATTGAACGTCACTCTAAACTCAAACACAAAAGGTGGTCAGGATAGAAGTGTGAGGTTAGAAAACAACCCAGAGTACTATGACTCTTGTAAAAAATAGTTGAGTCACGCTAGCGAGCAGTGCTCAAACAAAGAGGCTGTGGTTTGCACTCCACAGAACAGGTCTGGTGTTAGATGTCCTTCGTTTGCAAACTAAAAAGGCAGGCAAATTTTAGTTAACTTCAGAAGTAGAGAGAGATGCTCACAACTTCACAAGCAGTCCCATACCTGAGAATGGAAAACTTACTCATTGTTGACCATGGATTGGGCGGTACATCGCCGTTTCCTATTGCCAGCAGAAATATGACCTGTAGGAACTGTAGCGTTGGAAATCAGGCCAGGACTACTACCATGTGTACCACAATCAGGAGTAGCTGAACCGTTGTGATTGCCACCAGAAGGGAGCATGCCATTGTTCGGCAAGTTGTTGTACATAGCCGAACCATTATGCAGACCGAGATTAGAAATACCGGGCGGTGGCGTTGAACCAGCAGATCCTGCAGCACCAACACCATTCTCGAGCTGAGGCAGCATTTCCATGCCTTGTTCCCCGTTGATCATGTAGGCGGCAGCTGTTGCTGGGTTTAGTCCATTCACCATGCCCGGTGTTGAGTTCACACCATTCTGAACATCTGTACAAAAACAATACACGGATTCTGTAGCTCAGTCACAGGAGTCGCCTGGTGGTTAAAGCAAGAACAGGTAACATTACATTGAGGGATACAGACCCTAACAAGTGGCAATGAGAGCGCAATGGGATTTGTTGCAAAGTCATGCGAAAGGTGTGTGCCATCAAACCTCACAAAGTGACCTAGTACGTCAGGCATAGCCAGGATCCAACACTCTTTATTGTGTTTGTGTGTGTCAGCTATTGTAGTATATACATATACTGCATGGCAAGAGATCCCGCTATGTTTTTACCTTTTAAAATTCCTGCACCGTCTAGGTCGTGAATTAGCAAACATAAAGTATTATGTAGAAGAGAAAAGTATAATATGGATACGAGTTAAGAGTAACTCTCCATAACTGTAACTGGATACTATATACAGTCAGAAAGTGCAATAACTAGGCACAAAACTGACAGAGTACTGAAACATTCGACGTCCTGACACCTAGCTTCAACACATCTCCGTAGCGCTAACCGACAGCCTACCAACTTGGAAGGTTCAAGGTTATGAAAAGACCAAAGAGGGGAAGGCAAGCGCAACGAAAACGAGCAAAAGCTACAGTCTCAACGGAACAAAGAATGTCGATTGTTACTGGACGATGACGAGACCAGTACGATATTTAACTTTGCTGCTTCGAATTGTAGTTAGACCGCTTTGTCAAATATCGTACTGGTCTCGTCATCGTCCAGTAACAATCAACATTCTTTGTTCCATGGCAATAAATAAGATAAATTGTACACTCATAACAACAGCAAAAATGAAGAAAGTCAAGTTCCATAACGTTTTCTTGTGACTGTCATCAGTGGAACGCCGTCACATAAAAATGTAATAACTAAAACACACACTTATATACATGTAGCTAATATGGTTTCAGGTAGAAATACAGCAGCTAACAGGCACAAAAAGGGAAGTTTGCACCTTTGTAATGTGTGAATATTTTCTTCATTTTTGCTGTTGTTATGAGTGTACAATTTATCTTATTTATTGCCATTTTACGACTATTGTCTCCTCGTCGATTGTTTAAATTCTTTGTTCCGTTGAGACTATAGCTTTTGCTCGTTTTCGTTGCGCTTGCCTTCCCCTCTTTGGTCTTTTCATAACCTTGAACCTTCCAAGTTGGAAGGCTGTCGGTTAGCGCTACGGAGATGTGCTGAAACTAGGTGTCAGGACATCGAATGTCTCAGTACTCTGTCAGTTTTGTGCCTAGTTATTGCACTTTCTGACTGTATAATATCCAGTTACAGTGATGGAGAGTTACACTTAACTCGTATCCATATGTGCTTTTCTTTTCTACATTTATTTATGGCTCAACATCCGAGTTTCAAATTGCACACCTGATGAGCCGTCACGAACCATACGGCGAAACGTACGTCGTGTGAAACAACTTGTTTTGTAGTTAACTAGTCCATCAACACCTACCCCCAGAAGTGATCTACGCAGATGATACCGACGTCATAAGTAGTTCGAGGCAGTGGCTGACGGATATCGAACCCATTGCAGCGGAGGTACTGGGTGAATGGCATTTATGCGTCAACCATGACAAGACAGAGAGGACAACATTTCGCCGGGAGAAGGACCGTATAGCAGAAGATTGGCGCTCGACCAGAAAGCTGGGCTCTCTCATCGGCGACGAACAAGACGTGATCCGGAGAAAGCAGCTGGCATTAGCAGCATACCAGTCCATGTTCTCTCTCTGGCGTTGCAGCAAACAGGTCAGCGAGCGGTTTCGGCTCCGCCTGTACAATGCCCTGATCGTCCCAATTTTGCTGTACAACTGTGGCACTTGGGGCTTGACAGCAGCAACTGAGGAGAGGCACGATTCCTTCCACAGAAGGCAGCTGAGGTCCCTGATTGGCGTCCGTTGGCCACAGCGCATCTCCATTATTTCCCCGCATAGGTTTCGGTAGTCACCGACCATGCTGGCAATCACCATAGTAAAGTATTATTGTCCGTTGTGTTGTACCGTTAAAATACATTCTTGCTTCTACAGTATCATACAGCTGATCGTTTGGTTCTGGCATATGCGAAGATGTGAACATTGTTGACATCAACGCGAACATGCATATAATAATAATAATAATAAGTCCATCACAATGCCATGCATGAGGAGTACTGTAGGAGTTTGGCTTTCGGCTTGTAAAATTCGTTTTCGCGAAGCTTCCCCTTTCTTTACTTATCTTTGATATTTATGACCCACCCAAGTTGGATGGTGTGCTGCTTTGCTGCTTCGAATTGTAGTTAGACCGCTTTGTCAAACATCGTACTGGTCTCGTCATCGTCCAGTAACAATCGACATTCTTTGTTCCGTTGAGACTGTAGCTTTTGCTCGTTTTCGTTGCGCTTGCCTTCCCCTCTTTGGTCTTTTCATAACCTTGAACCTTCCAAGTTGGAAGGCTGTCGGTTAGCGCTACGGAGATGTGTTGAAGCTAGGTGTCAGGACGTCGTATCTCTCAGTACTCTGTCAGTTTTGTGCCTAGTTATTGCACGTTCTGACTATCCAGTTACAGTGATGGAGAGTTACTCTTAACCCGTATCCATATGTCCTTTTCTTTTCTACATTTCTTTATGGCTCAACATCTGAGTTATAAAGTATTATTATTATTATTATTATTATGAAATGACCCAAAGGCAATGTGCCTATCGAGGGGTTCATTTGATTGAAAGAACAGTAGATGTAGATGTATGCACAAAGACAAGTAGGGATTGATGAGGAGAGAAATAGGCAAAATCAACTGGAAGGTGGCGGAATTCCGTTGATTGCATAAGCAAGGTCAGCTGCAAATTTCCTGAGGGCAGCTTTGAACTTATAGAGCGAGGCTTTCGATGTTAGACTGGGGGTAAACAGTTCCATAGAAAAGATGCGTCGAAAACATTAGGCTCGGGAGGATGAAGTTGAGGACACCGCTGAAGCTGTGCTTATGGTTGATTATTATGGTGGTGAAGACATACCTGGCCACACACGCTCTCTAGGCTGCAAAGTACTGGCACAAAGCTCTCCTTCTCACCACCACCACCATCAGTTCGCGCCTGGCGCCTCGTCGATGCATGATTGGCGGTATCCGACCTAGCAAGCTGGTACATCAGGTAGCACATAGAAGATGACACAGCAACGGCATAGCTCGATTGCGACGTACGCTTCGTCGCTGCTGGACTCATTAGGGATATCTTCATATGGAGCTTGACCCGGGAGAATGAAGTTGAAAACACCACTTCAGCTGTACGTATGGTTGATTAATATGGTGGTAAAAACACACCTGGCAATATGACGGGCACAAAGCGTGCTCACAATCAAGCTATGTCGTTACTGTGTCATCTTCCATGTGCCATACCCTACCTGATATACCAGCCTGCTATGTTGGATACCGCTACCATGCATCAACTAGGCGCCAGGTGAGAACTGATGGTGGTGGTGGTGGTGGTAAGAAGGAGAGCGCTGTGCCAGAATATTAGGCTGTTCACAATATTAGATTAAACAGTACCTTGACCTCCGCTTTGCGTCTGCTGCTGCTGCTCTTTCAAATCTATACTCCGTTGTTGATGCTGCTGTCGTTCTTTCCGCGCATGCAGCAAGTCAGGATCCTGGAGTACTTGCAACAACTGAATATATGCATCATACAAATGATTAAATCACAAGCCACAAAAATCTCATTGCTAGTGTTCTCTATGAGATTCGTAGAGCGTATTTATTTTAGTATCATTGCAGTTTGATCAGGAAAACGGGTCAGTTGCGGCACTGCAAGCCGCGTTTATGAAGGCATTTCCACCCTGCTTCTATCAATAGCCAAATTGAAGGCTCTCGCATTTCTGCCACCACGGTGGCCCGAACAGTCACCATCATCATCATAAGCCCATAGCCCTAAGGCCGTCGGGGCGTCACAGAGCAAGTATGAACAAGCGAGCGCCATAAAAATCGATCGCGTGCAGCAGGGAGCAGGGACTGCACGTCAAGTGCAGTCCATGAAATAATAATATCAAGCCATGACATTCTGGGCCTGCCACGGCCACGACCTCCAGCAACACAACCCTGAAGAACAGTCAATGACAAAAAGCCGGAACGAACAATATGAACAAAAATTGCAATTTCCGTTTACGAACAGAAACAATAAGTGGGACTTGTTTGTGAATACTATTTATTTCCTCTCTAACAGACACATTCGTCCGGTGATCAGTGAACGGAATCCTGAGAAGACGTCGATAGCTTTTCATTTCGAAAGCCCCGATCTTTTGCACAATTTCACCAGTTTAGGTCCAAGACTGGCAAGCATAAAGGAGTATGGATAAAACGATAGCATTGAGTAGACGGAATTTCGAGCCGATACTGATGTTTCTATCCCTCCAGATTGTTACTAGTCGTGCAACAGCAGCCGAGGCTGCTGCGATCCGACTCCTCACTTCTTTGATTGAACGCTGATCATCAGTAATAGTGCTACCCAGATATTTAAACTCGCCAACCTGCTCGAGCTGCTTCCCGTCGATGGCTATGCTTGCGGACAGACCTTTGCTTGCTCCCGTTACCAGCAGCTTACTCTTCTCAGTGCTGATTTTCATGCCGTATGATTTTGATGTGCTGGCCAGCCGGCCGGTAAGGTCTTGCATTTCTTCCTGGCTGCCAGCCACCAGATCAATGTCATCTGCAAATCGCAGGTCTGTTATAATGCGTCCACCAATGCTAATGGAACCCGCGAATCCCTCTAATGACCTAGATACCAGTTCCTCCAAGAAAATGTTTAATAGAGAGGGTGATAGAATGCAACCTTGCCTAACGCCAACGGTGGCATGGAACCAACTGCTAACCGTTGTTCCTACTCTTACAGCATTCTCGGACTGCTGGTACAGGAACTCGATCAGTGTGATGATAGTCGCGCTAAGCCCACACTTGCACATCATCTTCCACAGGGCTGCGTGCCACACTCTGTCAAACGCCTTGCGAAAATCGATGAAATTGTTATAGATGGGTCTCTGATGGTCACCATAATGCTCTGTCAGTGTACGGATGTTGAATATCTGATCCACAGTACTACGGCCTGCTCGAAACCCAGCCTGCTCCTCGCTCAGTAGGTCTTCGATGCAAGGTGTGAGATGGTTGAGTACAACACGCAACATTACTTTGCTAGGGTGACTTATCAACGAAATGGTGCGATAGTTCGTGCACTTTCGGAGGTTGCCTTTCTTTGGTAGCGGAATAGTGCGCAATGGTAAAAGGAGCGCCAAGCGATCGCAGTCTTTCTGATAAGGACACGATCAAGGCAGTTCTGGTAAGCGAATTCTCAGATATATTTAATCCCTTGAGCCTCCCACCAATGCACAGCAAACAAATGAAGATTTGCTTGAAGGCTGACGCTAATAACGCCCCGCGCACCATCCCACATGCATATCGGGAGCAAATTAAGACCCAAATCGAAGAATTGGTACAGAAGGGAATCATTGAGGCAGTTACAGAGCCCTCGGAATTGTGCCACCCTATGGTCATCATACCAAAGAAAGGGAGCAGTGAGAAGCGTTTAGCAGTAGACCTTATGAAATGGAACAAGCAGGTGAAACGCCCCGTTCACCCGGCGCGCACCATTGGCAACACGCAATCCGATATTGACACCGCACAATATTTCACGACTCTGGATGCTAGACACGGCTACTGGCAAGCGCCGCTGGCAGAAGAGTGATGCCATTTGACCACATTCATAACTCCCTGGGGACAATATCGATACTCGCGCAATCCCTAAGGTTTCATGGCAGCGGGCGATGAGTTCAATCAGCGAGTGGATATCATGTCGCATTTCAAAATATAGGGAATATGAGCAAAGTGGTAGACGATTGGTTGCTCCACGGCCAGCAGTTGAATACACATGTCGACTCGGAGGACGCGTAGAGTTTTGAACCAGGCGCGTGTACACGGTATCACATTTTCTGAAAAGAAGTTCAAGTTTGCAGAGAGTGAAGTACACTTACGAAGTACGGCGACCTTGCCCCTCATGACGTCACCACTATTCAGTTTGCTGATGACATCTCGCTGCGTGCGAGCAGTCCACAGCCAGAAGTTGTCTCCCAGCGCCTCACTGCAGCAGTTCAGTACCTGGCCACTTGGTTGAAGAAACGTGGACTGATCCTTAACTAGACCAAGACGCAGATACTCGCCATACCACACCATAGAGCTGCAGCCCTCGACATCAATGTTGTATGCAATTCACAAGTCCTACCAGTAGTCACATCTGCCAAATACCTTGGCCTGCATTTTGACTCGGACATGAGTTGGACCACAATGGTGGACCATGTTGCTCGTCGTGTTGCCGGCAAAATTGCTGTCCTGCTGCGACATGCTTCCTCGCTGCCGTATCCATGCCGACTCACCTACTTCAGATCTATCGTTTTGCCTGAATTTTTGTATGCTTCTATTAGTTACTACCCGTATTTGACAGTTGCCCAGGAACAACGGCTACATAGGCTGTTCAAACGTGCCGCTCGGGCAGTCTGCAAGTCGCCACCGTGGACCAGTACTGCTCCCCTGCTAAATCGAATGCATGTATGTGATCTACAGGTTTCTGTGCACTTGAATATGTTGTGTTTCATCTGGCGATGTTTGCATGATGCATGTAGCACCCTGTTTGAGTCCTTTTTTGCTGTCGTGCCCTCAATTCGCACTCGGGGAGGCCAAAGCAACTTGCTTGTGGTCCCACCTGCTAGCACTGCTCGTTCTGCTAAGCGCCTAACGCACGCTGGAGCCATTATGTGGAATAGATTGCCACCAGCAGCAAAATGTTCAAATAGGTATTTGGATTTTAAATCTCAAGCTTTGCAGTATATATTATCAGCGACATAGGTTTTCCAATGCTTACTGGATTGATATCTGTTCGTTGCAACCAACCTTCCGTCATTTTTTCCTTTCTCTTTTTCTCTTGTATCTACTTTTTTTTTTTTTTTTTTTTTCTCCACAATATCCTTTAACATGTTATTCACAGTGGGTCCAATGTTATTAGGCATTTTGCCTGTTTTGATTTCCACTATAAATAAAGTATACAACAACAACAACAACACTTTGCGGGTACATGGTAGGCCAAACGGGTTGGCGCATGGATGATGAGAAAATGAAAGCAATCAGGGAGTTCCACACACCGAAGAATCGCAACGATCTGAGGTCTTTCTTGGGACTTGCCAATCAATTCACTGAATTCACACCTTCTTTAGGTACACATTTACAGCCGTTGAGAGATTTGCTGAAGGAATCATCAGAGTTCATGGTTGTCTGAGCAGGAGCAAGCAATGCTTACTATGAAAAACAGCCTCCTCGATTCCCCCACGTTGGCGTACTTTCGGTTCGACTGTCCATTGTGCCTTGAGACAGACGCGTCAAAGACAAACGGCTTGGGATTTGCACTGTTGCAGTTCCAAGACGCGCATGGCGATTGATTTAATGCGGAAGTAGATATATTTCGGAAACGGAAGCATGATACGCGATGAAATAACTTGAGTGCTTAGCAATAGTGTGGCCAGCACCGAATAGTAGCGTATTTCTGGCTAGCATCGAGTTCACGATCATCATAGATAATAAGCAATTAGTACCAATCATCATCATAAAAAAAACAAAAAAACAAACAATCATCATCATCATCATCAGATGTCGGGTGTATTTCGCGCTGCTACGTTCCACTGTATTGTGTGTCCGGGGTGCTCGGTCGGCCCGTCACCGTCCAGTTCACATGCTTCGTGAGTTGGCGATGGTGGAGGGTCGGGTTCCTCTCCCGTGATTGGTGCTGCACTGAGCTTGTTTTGTGTGAAAGTATTATATTATTATTATTCCTATATTTGGGAGTATTACAAAATAATTGAGAGGCTTTGAATAGTTTTTATCAAAATCTAAATATTTGCCGGGTTGGAAGGTGGGATTATCATCATCAACCCTTTCGCGTTGGCATCGGCGTTAGCCTAGCCTTCGCTTGGGCCACACCCAATGTTAGACATGATACCAGAAGAGAAGGGGAGAAAAAGAGAAAGAAAGCAAACCAAAAAAAGAAAAAAGGGAAAAATATAGGTGAACAAACACTTGGTCATACGCATACTATTCAAAGACACTAACAATGCAGCACTAGTACCAATTAGTTCCAATGCTGAATCGATACACAATGGATAAAATCGAAAAAAAACCGATTGCTACGTTTGATTATGAAAATACAGGCATTTCAAATTTTCAATTCAATGCTGAATGGAGAAAAGGCAAGGTTCACTTTCTCACGGATGCCTTGTCCCAAGCCCCAGTGGACCGCACCCCCAAGGGGGGGGGGGGGGCATCTGGGCAATGGTGGACTCAACAGAGCTCACGGAGGATGAGGACGACGATGAAGATAGAGCTATTCCCATCATTGCCAGAGTGTGCGCAGTTGAGGGACAGCAAGAGCTAGACAAGAAGGCAGCGGACAGCGACATGGAATACCAGGTGCTGCTGGCAACGATCCGGAATGGGTTTCCACAGCAGACACACTACAGCTGTAAAGCCATATCGGAATGTACGGGAACATTTAACAGTCGAACACAACACTCAGTACATGACCCAGGTACTCCCAATGTCCTTAGTCAACCTCAAGCAAAATTGGTGCCGAGTTCAAGATTTCGTACAGGTGCTTGTTGCTGAATGTGTTTGGGAACTTTTGAAAAGGGGAAGTATACCCTAATATC